GGTGATGAAACATGAATTCACCGTGATCTAAATTGAGTGAGACATTCACTTGCATAAGTTGAATGGTTTGCAGTACTATAAAAAGTGTTGATTTAATGTGTAGTTGAAAAATTTCACTTCCTTGTTAGATGAAATACATCTGTTAGTTTCTAAATTTCAAATAATTACAAGAATCAACTGGAAAAGTAAAATCATCACTCCATTGGTGCATTGTTTTACCCAGGTTTTTTGTATTTAATTTTCACAAGTTTTTTTAAAAAGAGGAGGAGAAGACAGGTGGAAGATAGAGGGGACGGGTTGCATGAGTGTTTTTTCTTCCTTTTTCCTTATTTTTGTTTTTTACATTATGATCGGTATGGCTTTAGGTAAATCTAAGTAATGAATAATTTTTATTACAGTCAGACAGAACTTGTGCTTACTACTTTGATTAAATATACAAGCACAAATAAAATTTATATATCTCAAAAAAAAAAGGGAACGAAAGACAATAAAAACATCCACACTAAATTATTTTCTTTTATAACATAAAAGATAAAAACGTATATTTTTAGAGGGGGGAGGGGTAAAAAGTTTCCTGTTGTTGTCCTTGGTTCTGTAGCTTTTCAGTATTTGTAGAAAATAAAAAGTAACATTGAAATTTGAAGGCGTTTTAATACAATTAAAAACATTCTAGGGAATATATTACTGTATAAACTCTTTAAAATGTGTAACTCGTGTTGTATGTGTGTTGTGTTCTAAATGCTCTCTGTTTTGGAAAGACTGCTTCATTTGTAGTCTAATCAGAGATGGCTCGGGCATAGGACTCAAATCGCTTCAATCATGTATGTTTATTTTGTATCTGAGTGTGTGTGTGTGTGTGTGTGTATGTGTTGTAGTATCCCTAGTGCCAGTTTCAGCTCTCCTACTAGTGGTGTGAATTTCAATGGTTTATAGACTGATTCTAAATTCTGGTCCGTCTGCTTCTCAAAGCCACAAATAGCTCAGAGTGACTGTTTTTCCTCTCCTCACACATTCACGCACGCACACACGACACACACATATACTATTGAAGAAAACATTACGAGTGACTTGTGCATCAACAGAGCAGACCAAATTGAGAGCCATGTTTAGAGGCGGTGGACAAGTGGTCCCTAAGCAACTCGCCACCATGGTGAAGCCCCCGCTGCCAACATCCTCACCCCCCCCTTCCTACATGTGAGCTTCAGTATTGATGATTAGTGTGCACAGTTCCCCTGGATTAAATCCCTGCGCCCTCCTTGGTCACCATGTACCCGGTCGCTGTCCAAACTCTGAAAATGAGTAAGAGCAGATGGGACATTTTGAGTGTGAGATGAGGGAAAAGGGCATACAGAGGTGGGGCACAGTGCCTAAATAAGGGGAAGTCACAGCAATGATGACCAACTTCCTCTGGCTCAGTGACATTGTCTGAGACACCTGAGCTCCCTCAGGCCACCGGTGTGTAATGAATCTGAGCTCACAATGATGTCTGGGTTGATGAGCAGGCGATGGACTGGTGTTGCACTCGTGGCTGTTGGGGTGGGGTCGGGGCTTTGAGGAGTGACAGAGAGGGTTGTGTGTGTGTGTGTGTTGAGGTCGCGGGGATCTGGGCTCTGGGCTCTACTGCGATGCCTGTGAGGTGGGGTTGTCGCTCTTGCTCTCCTGGCTAGAAGGGGCCTTGTTGTTCCAGGGCGAGTTGGAGCCCAGAGCCGGAGAGTTGTTGAAGCTGTCCTCGTCGTCGATGCCATTGGCCGCATCGAACTGTGTGTTCTCCAGCCGCGTGATCAGACGCTCGTTTCTCGTCGCCAAAACTCGCCTTTCCCATCAGCCGTGGGCTCTCCCCCACCATCAAATCCTGCAGAGAAGCAAATATAGAAGAAATTAATAAGTGGAGAGAATATGTCTCTTCTTGTCTACGTGAATACATTTACCCTCTACAGCTACTTTCATAAGCCCAATCCCACCTCGAAGCATTTAACATCCAAAATGCTCAATTTGGTCTCATTAGACCGTACAACATTTTTCCACTTAGTTTCATCATCTCCCACACGCCTTCTGTCAAAAACTATTAAAGGCACTGTATT